GGGGGGAACTGAAGGAAATAAACAAAGAATCGGCTAAGCTAGACAGGAAGTGGACGGACACACCCAACAACAAACCTTCTTGCCTTCAGGAAAGACTAATAATAATGCAGTCCCCATGCCATAGGAACATTTATGACTCACCCGCATTGATCTCTATAGGACATTCCTCCTCTTTAAACTGCTGGTAAGCTGTCATGTAGACCTCGTCCTCTACATTATTTTCAAACTAGAGGACACAAAACAATGATGGAAGCGTCTTCACTTAAAACCAGTTCTTTTTACAGTTCATACAACCAGGAGGTACCTGATCATGGTGAAGGGTGGTGTGATCTTCCTGTGTGGAATCCCGGGAATACAGAGGACAGGCCTGAGGGATCTCACGATGTTCCTGGGTGGAATCCCGGGAATACAAGGGACGGGGACATCTCCCTGGTGGGTTCCTCTTACTGGATCCATCTGTAGGAAACATACGGAATGAAGGAGAGGAACGGAAGAGAAGAGATTGTTGTAGTGACTGAACAAGGAGAATCTGAGACTCTTCTGGATTGAGTGTTCATTTCTCACCAGTGCTGATCTCTGATGGCATTTCCACCTCTTTACAGGGCTCATCACCCCTCACATACGGCTCTTCTTCATTGTCATACACTTCAGCTTTAATAGTAATCACATCTTCCCCCTAAAAGCAATCAACATAACACGGAAATCTTGATTTACAGAATCCACAAGGCTTCTCTACAGATCACACAGTGTGAAATCACTTTGTTGATGCTCTAAGGTGCACCTCTACCTGATCCAGGTGAAGGATCTCATGATGTTCCTGTGTGGAATCCCGGGAATACAGAGGACGGGCCTGAGGGATCTCCTGATGTTCCTGTGTGGAATCCCGGGAATACAGAGGACGGGCCTGAGGGATCTCCTGATGTTCCTGTGTGGAATCCCGGGAATACAGAGGACGGGCCTGAGGGATCTCCTGATGTTCCTGTGTGGAATCCCGGGAATACAGAGGACGGGCCTGAGGGATCTCCTGATGTTCCTGTGTGGAATCCCGGGAATACAGAGGACGGGCCTGAGGGATCTCCTGATGTTCCTGTGTGGAATCCCGGGAATACAGAGGACGGGCCTGAGGGATCTCCTGATGTTCCTGTGTGGAATCCCGGGAATACAGAGGACGGGCCTGAGGGATCTCATCATGTTCCTGTGTGGAATCCCGGGAATACAGAGAACGGGCCTGAGGGATCTCATGATCTTCCAGTGTGGAATCCTGGGAATACAGAGGACAGGGACATCTCTCTGGTGGGTTCCTCTTACTGGATCCATCTGTAGGAAACACACACACTGACTGAATACATTGTTTCTATGTGTGTATCAGATGATGGGGGATCTAGGTGGACCCTCCGTACTGCTCTCTCCTCTTACCCGGTGATGTGAGGGGCGGCTCATTCTCCATCACGACGTCCTTGTAGAGATCCCGGTGTCCTTCTAGATACTCCCACTCCTCCGTGGAGAAATAGACGGAGACATCCTGACACCTTATAGGAACCTGACACACACAATGATACAGTCACCACCGAGACACATCCCTTGTCTGTTCCTGGATCATGTCCCAGAATTCCCGGCACCGCTCACCTCTCCTGTCAGCAGCTCGATGATCTTCTGGGTGACCTCTAGAATCCGCTGCATGTTGTTCTTTTCAGATTTCAGGGAGAAAGTCGGAGGTGCCATCATGGAGCTCTGGGTCATACCAAACTTTCCACACCCAAAGGGATGATTGCGTGATATTATACACAGTCCAGATGTCTTCACTAGTATGTAATCCTGTATATTCATGGAAAGGTTAGTAAACTCATTTATAGATAACAGCATTGCCAGAGTTCATCAGGTTTCAATTTGGGTCCCTGTTTGAGCAGCAGCAATGAGAAAAATGTAACCGGTCAGCAAGTAGATGATCTCCAGGGTCAGGTTTAACATCTGCTCAGTCACATGACCCCAGTCGAGATCCATGGTCTTGGAAGCAGTCATGTGATCTGTACAGGGTTATTCCAGTAGCAGGGAGAGGAATGACGGCAGTGCTTTTCCCAGTCTTCAGTGAAGTCTTCTGATGCACACAGGTGATGCAGGCTAGAAGGCGGCAGCCGATGGTAACGGGGGCTTTGGTGTGCGGCCTAATTTAAAATAAACCCGTGTCAGTTTAATATTATCACTTAGAGATCCCATTGGCTTAAATGTTTATTGTTTTCCCTTAAAGTGCATCCCATCTCCCACTGAATAGTTCCATCTCACTGCCCCTGAGGTCCCTTCTAGCTACACCCATCACTAATGCTCCTCTATGAAACAGGTCTACCCAGACTTGCACTACTATTCCCCTTACAACGACCCACTGCATCTCATTGCTGGATTAGTCCTCCCACCATAGTGGATTGTCTGACTGATACTGGAAATTTCCATGAAGAATTGGCCTCAGGTTCTAGAGAACTATAGGGAAGGTGAATCCTTCAACCTAAACCCTACCTAGAAAGCTTCTCTCCTTGACTCCCTAGAGGTCCCGTGAATCCTCTGTATTGGGCAGGTGTTGTAGGAGAGCACATCCAAGATATAGCTGGAGTATTGGCGGACAGCAGCACAGAGAAGCTTCCCTGCACAGGCTTTTTCCAACAGTGCACCCCTCCTCCTTTCCAAACCAACCCACTAATGAGCTTGTGCAAGACCCCTCATTGGACTGATGGCCATTCAACCCCCACTGTACAGTGATCACCCACAGCTCCCTCCTTTGTACTTCTGACCAACCAAGTCTCCCACAACCCACTGATGATCACCCACAAACCTCCTCCCGCACTGATGAGCACCAGCACAACCTCTCCCGCACTGATGAGCGCCAGCACAACCTCTCCCTAGGCTGCACATCCATCCACCCCCAAACAGCCAATGGCCATCCACACCTTCCACTCCTGGGTGCATGGCCACACAACACTGAAGAGCACCGATACACACTTCCACCCAAACCATACCTACTGATGAGCACCCACAAAGCCTTCCCCCAAATTGATAACTGTTGTCTATTGGACAGCCATAGCTCCCTTCCTGGACTGATAACCACCAACCAACAAACACCAACTTCTCCTTCCTTTGGATGTGATGACCAACCCAGACTCCCCACCTCACTGAGGAGCAAAGGGGACCCACTTCCTCTCCTATGGATGAGCATCCATTGCCCCCCATATTGGTGAGCACCCACAACTAGTGACCTCCAACCCAATAGGCTCCTGAGACCCAGTTCCCACCCCCCACCTTACTCATATGCACCCCAAGCCTCCACCCATACTAATGACTGGCTGACATGTGAGCTCCGAGTCCACCAAGACGAAGGAGCATCATCTCTTCGCTGGACTGATGATCTTTGATCACAATCTGGGACACAGTTATTACCCCCCCAAAAACCCAAATCTATAAACTCCCCTCAACTTATATTGATGTATAAGTCCTTATTTTCTATATAGATCTATATTCCTCCCCTATGTCTCTACTGTTACCCCAATGACCAGACACATATTGCCACCATTCGAAATATACAATGTAAGCTTCAAGGGATTGTCCATACCTGCTACCAGTAACAAACAGTGGCTCCTTCTTCCCGGAACTTCCGGTCTGTGCGTTCCACCAGGAGCCGCCCGCACTTCCGGGTTATGCGCTCCGCGGCCAGGCCCCACTTGTGGGAACTGCGATACGTCGCGGACGCGCACTCGCTTTACACCACAGCGCCGCATTACTGCCCTG